TCCAGCCGAGGCGGGCTGCGGCACCAGGGGACTGAAAACAGCATCGAGGCTCCCCTGAGCCCTGATTTTCAGATCCCCTTTAATGACATCCCCAGGATGGTCCTGGTGCAAACTGGGCCATGGGTGGGTTTTGTATGGTGTTTGTTTGAATCAAGTTTCCACTACTCCACCAGATAACGAGGTTCTGGGCAATGGGAAGAAAATTGGGGGGGAGTATGATCCTTGTTTGCACACCAAGCTGGAAGTCTGAGCCACCGCCGCCAAGGGCTGGGGTCGTCACAGCCCCTCGAGTTCTGGCTCTGGTGATGCTCCTCCCTGCGTGGCCAAGAGCTGATGTGTTCGGAGTTGCCCGTCCTCAAGGCCCAGGGAGGGAGCTGCCGCATTCCGGGCACCCCAGCGAGCTGCTGCAGCAGGGCAGGGATGCTCACCCCATCCCTGGCGCAACACTAAACCCAGGCTGGGTTCAGGAGGGGAACGGGGCGGAGAGGAGAAGGGGCACAGAGCCAGAAAAACATCATTCTGGGTTACATTTCATCACCATGGCAACTTCTTGGAAACCGTACAGGATCTGAGCTCCTGAGTACCAAATAAGGGAAGCGGCTGCGGGAAGGATGCTGGCTCCCCGCGGGCGGACGGGCTCCCCAGGTGCTTGGGGATGGGGTGAGCATGGAGCCCGGTGGCACTTTCCCCCCGCCGGGCTTGGGGCGGAACACCCCGAGCTCGCACCCGAGGGAGCGGGGTGGTCCTCCCTAAGCCCCATCCCGCTTGCTACCCTCCTTCCACCCTCTCCAACCTGTCATTCCCAGCCCCGTGGCCCCAGAAAAAGACTCAAATTCATTTTTGCAAAGCCAGCTTCCATGTGGGACCTGCTGCTGGACAGATGCTGTGCTGTGTCGGGCACTCACAAGCAACTGGCAAAGGCAGGAGTGGCATCTTTCCTCTGCCTCCTGAATTGTGCCAATGCAGGCGGCTGGTCCGGGGAAGAAGAGAGGGTGCTGGGGAGAAAATCAGCACCAAATCCGTCTCTGTGAAATGGCTTCTCCTGAAGTTGGCTGCTGTTCAGCTCACTCTCTGTGTGCCGGCGGAGAAAGCCTGATTTCTTTCTAAAGACGTCTGTCCGCTAATCCGGCAGTGGATCATGTCTGAGAGCTGCTTAGGGAGGGACAGACACCTTTGTGATTTAAAAAAAAAAATAATTTAAAACTATGGATATTTCTGCTTTTTCTCACTCCCATGTAGTTTTTCCTTGTCTGTGCTACAGCAGAGCTTGGCTGCAGCCAGGGGCTCCTGGGGCAGTGGGGTCATTTTCAGCTCCCCCCATCATTTTGCATCTTCCCCCCCCCAAATCACCAGGGTAGGAGCAATGCAGGCAAAGGTGGGAATATCCCTCCAGCTGCAGATTTTTTGACAGGAATTGTTTAGGTGCAATCCTAGAGGCGTCTTCACCTTTGCTTTGCAAGCAGGTTGCAGTCTTAGGGGAAAAAGGGCAGGTTTCTCTTGCAGCTTTTGCGGTGCTCCGGCAGAGCAGTGCAGGCGGCGGGAGAGACTGGGCTTGCCAGCTGTCCCTGCGAAATTGAGACGGGATTTGGGGATGAAATCTGGGATTTGAGGCACTGCCCTCTGCTGCAGGATGGGTTTGCCCAGGGGGGTGGCAGGCTCAGGTAAGCAGAGCATGCCCAGACTTACTTAATGCAACTGGAGGCCAGTTTTGCTGATTTTGGTGCACACTCCTTTTTGGAGCTGTTCATACCGCCGAGTGGCAAAGAGTTAATTTCTCTGCTTGTTTACAGACCGCTTTTTGGCCCTCATGTCTCTGTCTAATTAAATACATATCTACAAATGATTATATGGGGGTGTATGTAAGGAACATATAAAAATGTATATCCTGAGCTGGCGATCAGCTTTGGGTTTTTGGATCAATGAATGACATCATGGTTGAGGTTGGAGGGGACCTTGGAGGTCGCCTGGTCCGACCCCCAGCTCAAGCAGGGTCCCATCGAGCGAGATGCCCATGAACTCTGGATCGTTTACCTCCAGCGCTGCATTCCTTTAGAGTGAAATTTCCAAGGGGATTTTTTTAAAAATTGAGGTCATGGGCTGCTTGTTGTGGCTGTGCACAGAGCCAGGACCCGCTCCCTGGGAGATCCCCCGGTAGCTCCGGCGCAGCCCTGCGAATGCCGATTTGGAGGTGCCGGGCTAAAACCCACCGGTGGCTCTGCTGATGTGGGAGGGGGGACCGAGGGGATGCTCTTTGCAGCTCATGTCCCCAGCCCGTGGCTGCCTGCTCGGCTGCTCCTGGATTCCCCCTGCTCCATGAAAAGGGAACAAGCAGCCAAGAAACTTCCCACAATCTGGAGACTTTGGAGGGGGGTTAATTGTCATTGATTTATTGGTGGCTTTAAGGAAAATAATCTGCTAATGCAGAAGCTTAATACGACAACAGCAAAACATCTGCTAGTGAACAAAGCCAAACCCTAAACGAGTAGTGAAAGCTGCTGCCTCTTCTGGGGCGTGCGCCGAACCTGGGCTGCCCGGGCTGCGGCTGCCGAAATGGCATCATCATCTGATGGACTCCAGAGCCCCTCATTAGCTAGAGAAGCATTTAAGATGATGGGTATTGTTTTAAAATAGCATAAAGCTCAGTGTGATGTTGTATATCCTTTTTAAAAGCAGCAGCCTGTTAGGTAACCGAAGCACACGGGAGGAATACAGCCCCGCTTGGGTTTTATTCTTTTTATCAATGACCCGTAAGAAACCAGCTGTGACAAACAAACAACACAGCTGCTGGTGGCAGGGTAGTAATTTTCTCCTCCATCCCATGTCCTTTAGCTTGATTTCTTTTTTTTGACGTTAGTTATAAGACTGAGAAAATTCAGTCCTGGCAAATGGGACCCGGGAGAGAAGCCGGGCGTTGGTCTGTACTTGTGAGAAGCAGCGGCTGCCCAGGAGCCAGCCCGCAGAGGCAGTGGGGATGCGCAGAAGGACTGGGGACATGGAGAAGGACCAGGGACATGCAGAGGGAAATGGGTGATGCAGAGGATGCGCTGTCACCCCAACTGGGTTTTGGCAGAGGTGAGGGGAGCATTTCCAGGTTCCCCATGAGTCAGGACCCAACAGACCCATTTCTCTGCAGGGTCTGCAGTGTTGCACGCAAATTTGGGTGCATAGCCCAATGTGTGCGCCGGGCGGCTTTTGGGAAGAGCTGCTGTGCTGGAGCATAAGCGGAGTTGCACAGGGCCCCACGCTCCGGGGAAGAGCCGGGGCTTTGCTCCGCTCAGAGCCGGGCTGCGTGAGCACAGGATGAGCTTTTCCCAAGGAGTTACGTGTCGGTGGCTGCGGCATCCTGCATGCCACGCTGGGGAGGGGCAGTTCCTATCCGAAAAAGCCAGCGAGCCCCTCCGCTGCCACAGCTCAGCCGAAGGTCTCTGTTGTTTGCCGGCTCGCCTTTGCTCTTGATCTTTTCCCGGCTGGATGTGGGGAGGTGCGGCTGGTTTCGGGAGCCCTCCCCGGGGAGGAACAGTGAGGGACGTTTTGCTTGCAAGAGCAGCGATGGTCCCTTTGGCCAAGGAAGTCCTGACCCATCTCCGCTCCACACTGCCCTGGAGCAGGGTTTCCACCTGAGAGCTTCTCCCCTTGGGGTTGCAGTGGTGGCACTGCATAGAGTCATAGAATCGTCGACTGGTTTGGGTTGGAAGGGACCATTAAAGGTCATCTAGTCCAACCCCCCTGCAGTGAGCAGGGACATCTTCAACTAGATCAGGTTGCTCAGAGCCCCGTCCCTGTCCTGTCATGGCATGTGTCATGGGCAGCACCCAAGCTGTGTGGGACCCACGCCTCCGGGGACAGCCCCATGGGGACTCTGGGTGCAGAGCTGGGGCAAACCACTCTAACCCTGCTGTCTCCCCCATTCTTTTTAGGAGCCTGGTCCTGCTAAGATGGCCGTGACCAGCAGCAACATCCCCAGTGCGGAGAAGGTGCCTGCCACCAAGTCCACGCTTTGGCAGGAAGAAATGAGGGGCAAAGACCAAGCGGACGGGGGCAGCGGCATCAGCCTGGCGCAGAGCCCGGTGCAAGGCCAGGCCGGGGCTGCCAGCTCCCTGAAGGATCCCATGCTGGACAGCAAGGAAGGTGAGGGATGGGGATACTAGCACTGGTGTGATGCTGCGGTGACCCAGTTCGGGCAGCTGAGCTGGCAAAAAAACACCGTGCAGGGAAAAGTTTTCCATGGGTTCAGTTCCTGGAGCATCTCAGCGAGGAGGAGGAGGCAACCTCCGTCCCTGCTGTGTTATGTGGGGACCTGAGTGAGACCTTATGGGCTGGAGTTCAGAAAGGAAAAACTTTGCATTACATGCTGGCAAACCACACAGCATGGGTCCCAATCCTGCCCCGGCAGGGAGACAGGGCTGCCTGGCCTCACAGGCGGTGTTGCCCTTGTGTCGGGGGGAAGACGAGGAGGAAAATGCCTTTTCTAGCCCCTCTGGGTCCCCACCCAGGGCACCCGGAGGGCGTGGGGCCACGCTGCGCTCAGCCGGGCTGTGGGGGCTGCCAAGCCCTGAGCGCCGCTTCCTCCTCCCGCCCCTGTGTCAGGGCCCTGTTTACATTTGGCCTCCCCGATGAGTCCCTGGAAGGCGCCGGGGCCACGGCATTGTTCTCCCTGGAACAATAGGGGCTGGGGACTCTTCCTGCCGGGGCTGTGGACAGGTCCCACACGCCGCGGCCGTTTCCTTTATCTGCCCGCTTGGATGGGGGATGCTTTCCGCCTGCTCCCTGCTGCCAGGAGCAAGGTGTCCCATCGCCTTGTACCTGCAGAGCTGTGGTCGATGCCGGGCAGGGAAAGACGGGGATGGAAATGGGTGCAGAGCGGTGACTGTGGCCATCTATTTCTTGGCTTGAAGGTTTAGGTCTTTCAACTGTGCAAGCCCGACCCAAGGGTTGTACTGGCATTCCCAGCTCGCTGCAGACCATCCCGCCATCTCCATGGGCATGGGGGGTGGTCAGGGTGCAAGAGGTGGGACAGCATGGGGCTGGGGCCCAGACCATCTCTGCTCTCGTTTCCTGCGCCTGTCGTGGGTGGAATCAGGGTGGTTTTTGTTAAAAGCAGAACTCGGACTTGAAACCAAGCATGGTGACTTTTCTGTCCCTTAGATGAGAGCTCCATGAACGGAGACCGGATAGACTGTGGGCGGAAGACGCGTGTCGAGAGCGGGTACTTTTCTTTGGAGAAGACCAAGCAAGACTCGAAGCTGGAAGAGCAGCAGCTGCCGCCCCCGCCGAGCCCGCCCAGCCCCAGCACCCCGAACAACAGGTACAGTTATCCCAAATCGCCCTCGCAGGAGCATGCCCAGCCCTTTCCTTCCCCAGGTACCCGATCAGGCGACCGAATGATTCACAGCTTCTCTCTGAACTCCTTGGACTCGAAGAGCAGTTGCCCCATGCACAAGGACTCCAGCAGCAGAGATGTAGGAAGGGGAGCTGAAAAATCGGGGCGTCCCCTTTCTTTTAAAGCCAGCCGGCAGTACACCACCCTGGCCGACGTTCCCAAGGCCATTAGGATCAGTAATCGTGAGGCCTTCCAGGTGGAGAGGAAGCGGCTAGAGCGGAGAACCCGGGCCCGTAGCCCTGGGAGAGAAGAAGTGGCCCGGCTCTTTGGCAATGAGAGAAGGTAAGGGATGAGTGGCTGATCTCCTCCTTGCATGCTTGTAATGGCAGCGAGGC